GAGAGGGTTAGGAGCTGGTTGAATGGACATGGGGAATCTGGGGTGGAAAGGAGGAGTGTGCTGTCACAGTATGGGGAGAGCAATTAGAGTCACATAACAATGTATGTATAAATTTTTGTATGGGAAAAAATTAAAAAAATAAAAAAAATTTTACACAAATTGTTTTGTGACATTGGTTACAGTCAGTGACAACAACTTGAGTGCGTTTTTATTTTTTTAAAATAAACTTTAGTTTAATAGGTAATAAATTCACATTGTTCAAAATTTAAGAGGTGAAAAAGGATATACAACAAAAAGCTTCCTTCCCACTTGCTTGCTTGTGTTTTTAAAGAAATTGGCAGCTACATTTTTTGATCTCTTGCATTATACAAACAAATTGGTTGTATCCTGCCGGTCACAATTCAATGAATTCCTTGGCAAAGGGTTTTCAAAATAAAGGACATCCTCCAGCAGGAATCTTCACAGAGGAAAGCAGCAATTCCATTTAATTCTGCAAACATTTATTGAGCCACACAGTGTGACTGGAACATTGTTAGCTATTATGGGGTATAAACATGAGTCATATGGTTGATAGTGCACTTTTCCTAATTAGAAAGGAGAAGAAAGTAGAATGGAGGACTATTTGTCAGGCAATCTGATGCCTCCTACTTAACCTAGTTGGAAGAGTTGATAGAAAGTGGTTTGGTCTCTGTCCAGATGAGGCCTGGAGGTAAGGTTACATTCTTGGCCCTGTCTCTCTAACACAGTGTGTCTCCAAACCAGCAGCGGCCCTGTTCACAGCCAAGCTCAGCACTGGCCCAAGAACTTTGCTGGAAGTTTAGTGTCTATCTCACAGTTTTGGGGGGAGGAAAAAATTAAGTTGAGCCTTCTCAGTATCAGAATGTTGAACTAGCAACAGTTGATAACTGAAGGGTTGTTCAAAGTTCTCAGGGTTCTCCAGCCAAGTCTGAAAGGGCTGAATTCCCCTCCCAGCAGCTGAGAAAACATGGAGTGTCCATAACAAATGGACCGAAAAGACACTGGAAGCTGAGAAAACCTACTGAGGCAGCAAAAGCATATTTTACACACCCCTTGTGTGGCAAACCTTCAGGTTCCCACAGAGGCTTGGAGAGGACAGGCAGGCCCAGTGGGAAGGTAGGCTAGGTGTGTTTGCTAGGAATTTGGGAGTACCGATGGGGAGAGGCATAATCAGAATGCTCCTTAAAAGTGAGGATGGCGACACTTTGACTCGCTTACTTTGGGCATGTCATTAGGAAAGACCAATCTCTAGAAAAGGACATCATAGTTGGTAACATAGTTCTTGTTAATTTCCATCGAGTTGATTCCAACTCACAGCAACCCCGTGTGTGCAGAGTAGAACTGCTCCATAGGGTTTTCAAGGCTATGACCTTTCAGAAGCAGATTGCCAGACTTGTCTTCTGAGGAACCTCTGGGTGAGTTTGAACCACCAACTTTTCGGCTAGTAGACAAGCGCTCAAGCATTTGTGCCACCCAGGGAGCTTGGTAAAGTAGAGGGTCAGCGAAAACACGGGAAACCCTCAATGAGATGGATTGACACAATAGCCATGATAATGGACTCAAACATGCCAATGATCATGAAGATGGCACAGGACTGGGCTATGTTTTGTTCTGTTATACATAAGGTCGCCATGAGCCGAAGGCAACTCGAGGGCAACTAACAACAATGATGGGGAGAGGTAGAAATTATGAATCAGTGGGCAGTTTTATGCCTGGGTACCCTTTGTTCCTCTGCAGGAATTTCACATTAAGCACATTCCACCTGTGAACTGCTGCTGGCCAGAAAATACAAAGTGTGCATCTCCCGTGCTGCCTTTTCCATTGGTCCTCGTTTGGGTTTGGGGTCTCTGGCTTCCATAGTGCAGCAGGCCATGCCATTTGGCTTTGCTGTGGTGGCAAGCCTACTTATTGGAGGGCTTCTGAAGTCTTTATCTGATCCTCCACTCAAATGCTCAGAACAAAAGTAATTGATAAGCACCTTTCCTTCCCATCATGATGCAAAAAAGTTTCTAGAGACCAAGGGCTGGTGAATGGAAATTAATTGCACAGCAGTGTCCACAAGGATTATTTTGAGATGTGTAAGAAGGTCATTGATAAGTTTATTTAGTATGCTGTCCTTATGGTTTACTTTTAGTGACTGTTAAAACAAACTAAAACATAGGTTCATTCCCAACCTCCTGTTCCCTAATTCTCTCCAGGACTGCTGCATTTCCTCAGTGGGGGTTTTCAGGAATTTCTTCTTTATGGTGAGAGGGCCTAGAGCAGCTCTGGCCAATAGAAGTATAATGTGAACCATGTTTAAATTTTCTAGTAGCCACATTAAAAAAAATAAAAAGAAACAAGTGATATTAACCTTAATGGTTTCTTTAAGACAATATGTATATCCAAAATATAATTTAAACATGTAATCCATATAAAAAATTAACAGGACAGCTTTTTTTTTTTTTTTGGTACTAAGTCTTTGAAATCTGGTGTGTATTTTACATTTATCAACCAAAACCAGATGCTGTCAAGTAGACTCCCGCTCATGGCAACTCCATGTGTGTCAGAATAGACCCTATGCTCCATAGGGTTTTCAATGGCTGATTTTTCAGAAGTAGATCTAGCTCGCTGGGCCTTTCTTCTGAGGTGTCTCTAGGTAGACTCGAACCTCCAGCCTTTCAGTTAACAGCCAAGTGCATTAACCATTTGCATCATAGTACATCTCAATTTGAACTAATCACATTTCAAACAGTCAATAGCCACATGTGGCTGGTGGCTACGGTATTGGACAGCACAGGATTAGAGTGTAGGCCACAGTGATGCCCTCAGTGTCCCCCTACCCAGCAAACAAGCCGGGTGCCTCATTTCAGGAGTCCCTGTGGTACAAATGGTTAAGCGTTGGATTACTAATCCAAAGGTTGGCAGTTCAAACCCACCCAGAGGCACCTAGGTAGTAAGGCCTGGGGATCTGCTTCTGAAAGGTCACAGCCTTAAAAACCCTATTAAGCACAGTTCTACTCTGCACGCTTTTGGTTGCCATGAGTAGGAATCCACTGGACAGTAACTAACAACAAGAAGTGATGTTAAAGGCAGGAGGGAGTTTAGAATGGGGTCAGATGCTCAGATTAGCTCTGGGTTTTGTCGATTAAGATACCTGGTATGCAAAGGGGAAGGTGTTTTAGGTAAGGAAAACTGTGTAAGGCCCAGGAGGTTGGAAGAGGGCATTTGGAGGACGTGTGGCCTTGCAGGAGATAAGAGAACAGTTAAGGGAGGAGAAGGCCTGGTGGGGCCACTTGGGGCAAGGCCGTGAATCCAGTCATGTGGGCAGGTAGGATTTTTACCTAGGGTTACCGTTCGGCTAATGGTTGCTCTGTTTTTGTCTTTTCTCCTCTGCCCCCACCCACCCTCCAGCGATGGTGCTGGGCCTGCCAGGCGCCTGGGCCACGGGGGCCTGCGTGCGGGCCTGCCCTACCGCCTGCGTCTGCAGCAGCTCTGAGCGCGGCTGCTCGGTGCGCTGTGACCGCGCGGGCCTCCTACGCGTGCCAGCCGAGTTCCCGTGCGAGGCGGCCTCCATCGACCTGGACCGCAACGGCCTGCGCTTCTTGGGCGAGCGGGCCTTCGGCACGTTGCCGTCGCTGCGCCGCCTGTCGTTGCGCCACAACAACCTGTCGTTCATCACACCCGGTGCCTTTAAGGGCCTGTCGGGTCTGGCCGAGCTGCGCCTGGCGCACAACGGCGACCTCCGCTACTTGCACCCGCGCACCTTCGCCGCGCTCAGCCGACTGCGCCGCCTCGACCTGGCCTCCTGCCGCCTCTTTAGCGTGCCCGAGCGGCTCCTGGCCGAGCTGCCCGCCCTGCAGGAGCTCGCCGCCTTCGACAACCTGTTCCGCCGCGTGCCCGGCGCGCTGCGCGGCCTGGCCAACCTGACGCACGCGCACCTGGAGCGCGGCCGCATCGAGGCAGTGGCCTCAAGCTCGCTGCAGGGCCTGCAGCGTCTGCGCTCCCTCAGCCTGCAGGCCAACCATGTCCGCACTGTGCAACCCGGTGCCTTCCGTGACTGCGGCGCCCTGGAGCACCTGCTGCTCAATGACAATCTGCTGGCTGTGCTGCCGTCCGATGCTTTCCGCGGCCTGCGGCGCCTGCGCACGCTTAACCTGGGCGGCAACGCTCTGGGCCGAGTGGAGCGCGCCTGGTTCGCAGACCTGGCAGAGCTCGAGCTGCTTTACCTGGACCGCAACAGCATCGCCTTCGTGGAGGAGGGCGCCTTCCAGAACCTCTCAGGCCTTCTGGCTCTGCACCTCAACAGCAACCGCCTCACCGCGCTAGCCTGGGCCGCCTTCCAGCCCGGCTTCTTCCTGGGCCACCTATTTCTCTTCCGGAACCCGTGGCGCTGTGACTGTCGCCTGGAGTGGCTGCGGGACTGGATGGAGAGCTCTGGGCACGTCGCCGACGTGCTGTGCAGCTCCCCGGGCTCCGTGGCGGGCCTGGACCTCAGCGAGGTGGCCTTTCGGCGCTCCCTCGATGGCCTCTGTGTGGACCCCAAGGAGCTGAACCTCACTGCGACCAGTCCAGGTCCGTCCCCAGAGCCAGTGGCTACCACCGTGAGCAGGTTCAGCAGCCTCCTCTCCAAGCTGCTGGCCCCGAGGGCCCCAGTAGAGGTGGTGGCCAACGCCACCGAGCTGCTGGCCAACACCTCATTGTCCAGCAGCCTTCCCTCCCACGGGGTGGGATTCTTCGGCTGCAATACCACGATTCTACTTAGCTCTTATCTCCTGCTCAATGTGGTCCAGCTTGTGGTGTTTGGCCTGCATATGGACTGACCCTGATACACTGGAGTGGCCCAAACTGCCTTGGCCAGCAAGAGAAAGTTTGGTTAACTGGGCTTGGGGGAGGGTGTTTGGAGAGGGAGGCGACAGGATGTGGGCAGGTCATGAGGATGCCAGTGGAGGGTGGAAGGAATAGTTTGCCTCCAGAGCTGGCCTTAGGAAGAAGAGAACCCTGGGAAATACCACGTGGGGGAGGAGGGAGGCTATGGATTTTTGCCCTTGTCATATGGGCATCAATTGGAAAAGAGAAGCAAGAATGAACATGGAAGGCTAGGAATTGGAATCTCCTATGGCTGGACGACCCCTTTCCCCCCAACTCCAGGCAACAGTGCCTGCAATGCCTGAATTAGAGTCAATCCATTGGCTAAGTACTAAGAACTGTGCCATTTCTCCTGGCAGGGTAACCCATTAACCCCACAATCCTCCTCCCCCTCCCCCAGGGGCCTGGGGACATTGGGGTCCAGGAAGGCGGACAGGACATGAAAGAAGGGGAATGGGAGTGGGATTTAGAGCAAGGAGGTGGTTCCTGGGGTCTGAGATGTGTTGAGAGGCATTGTGGTTGTGGAAGCTAAGACCAACGTGGATTCCCTTATGCCATGCCAGAAGAGCATGGCTACTACCTGGGTCATAGGGCAAAAGTTTAAGATGATAAGTAACCTAACTTTTGGAAATAGTAGCTTGTTTCTGTAGATTTATGTATAATAGACAGTTCCTTCCTGCTCTTTAACTCCTGCATTCCAGACAGACAGACCTGGTTATCTGCCTCTGCTCAGCAGGCACGGAACCCCACCTCCTGAAAACTGTAACATTTGTCTTCTTAAGCATACTAACTTTTGGGAGAAGAAAGGAATTTGAAAGACATTTTAATAAACCCCTGAAAAATCAGCTAAAACTGCCTAGACTCTCGGACTCTCTTTGTTTCCTTCTGACTGTATTAACCCTGATGCTGCCACATTTCTTTGGAACACGTGGTTTAGGCTGTGTGTTCCCTTATCCGTGAATTGCTGATCGAATAATAAATCTCTAGTATTGTTTTTAACTTTGTTTCAGTTCTCAGAAATCCTTTTACATTTTTGGTATCAGAGATATGGGACTCCCTAGGTAGCCTCTGCAATCCCGAGATCAATTGCCAGTTTCGAGCTTCGGTACCAAGCTGAGCTGATTGGGCTCCTTGGTCTCCACTTTATTTCGGGGTCACTCAGGTAAAAAAACCTCTCAGAATCTTAGCTGTGCGCCTTGCATAGTAGCTCTTCTGAGATTTATTTTTCTATTTGTGTTTTGAATTGTCGACTTTGGAACTGCTGTCCTGATGGATAGTGTGAACTCCAATATTTATTGTGAGTTTGGTGAATCAGGGGCCCTGGTGGTGCAGTGGTTAAGAGCTTAGGCTGCTAACCAAAAGGTTGGCAGTTCAAATCCCCCAGCCACTCCTTGGAAACACTATGGGGCAGTTCTACTCCGTCCTATAGGGTGCCTATGAGGCAGAATCCATTCAACGGCAATGGCAACGGGTTTGGTTTTGGTTCTGGTGAATCATAGTGCTTAGGACTGTCTCAGTGTGGGGGATGCTGAATCCAAGAAAGCAGCTGATTTTCCTAGTGAAACTCTGGCTTGCTACATGACCAAGAACTGTGGTTCTAGGTCTTGTTTGTAGTTGGATTTTTGTTTGAGCTCCCTAACGACAGTTTGTTAAATCAGTGGCCACTTTAGGGTACTTAACAATTGGAGAGACTAGTATAGTTAAGGTCTAAAATAAGAGACTAAGTCTCTAGCCAGCAGAATGAATTAGGTTCAGAAAGAATGAAACCAGGTTTCGTATGATTGTTACAAAGGAATCCCAGAGTCTTTAAGCCACAAAAATATGTGGCCACAGGTTGAGCATCTTACATACCCTTATGGTGTTTGCCACTGACAGAAAGACACCCATGAAAGGATAAGCTGGGACATGAGATGGACCAGAGCTCTAGGCGGCCCACCAGTTGCAAGAAAACTCTCATGCAGTGGAAGCACAATGTGAAACAAAACACTGACCAAACCCTGTGGCAGACTCCCTGCTAGGAATTTTATTTGACTCTGGGAAACCAAAGTTTCAACCTAAGAGAATAAGATTCTTAACATCCTTGATAAATGAACCTGGATTTCCCCCCTACTAGGATGCTGGTTTGGAGTTCATGTTCAAAAACAGTATAAGCTGAATGTACTTGAAGTAATTTGAAATCTCACTTATCACTTTGGGAAAATGAGTTCCCATTTGTGTTGTCCTTTTCAGAGAACTTTTGTTTAATGCTCAGTTTTAGTCAAAGGGTCTGAATAAAATCCTTCCATCTGAGACTCTGGCCAGTTAATGAGTTTGTCTAGGACCTGTTTTTCTGTTGAATTGAGTTGATCTCATCCAAGAAATGCTGTATATGTTTTAAGAAACTGGGTTCTCCGTATGTTTGTTTTGTATGGTGTTGAGTATAAGCCTAGGTTTTGAGCTGGCCTCAGAGACTGGTGAATTTATGTGGTTCTTCTGTCTCATTCTGTGTCTGAGTTTCTGTGTTGTCTCCAGAAGCCATGACTGACAGTTGCTTGGTTTTTCTTTTCTTTTTTTTCTCATGAGGCAGTCTTTTAAAACTTAGTTTTTTTCTCTTCCAGGAAAAACTGCTTCTTGCACCTGTCTCATGAGTTGGGTTTTCAGTAGCTACATTGAAAAAATTTGATACAAATTGGTCTATTTGAAAGGTGCACTGAAAAGGATGGATTGTTTATTTTGATTGATATAACAAGGCCTTAAAAAGGACAATTTATTCTAAATTTTTTCTTTAAAGGATCCTATAAAGCATGTAAAAGACAGGGCTATGAAAATGTAATAATTTCCTACCTCCGGATGTGATGGTATTATTAAATTATAATATTCCTTCAAATAACTTACTCTGATTAGTTTAATGATAAATAAGTGCTTATATAAATCAAATAGTCCTAATATTTCCAGGAATTAATGACAATGAATCCATTCTAACAAAGCTTTTTTTGTTTATGTCAACTTTGAAAGCAAAATCTTAAAAGCAAAACCTTTCTAAGTAACTTAAGCTAGATATTATATGAAATGTGTTTTATTTATGGAAAAAGAGTAATTTTTATTAATTCCAGAATGAGAAGAAAGAAGGCTAAACTGCTTACCAAGAGAATAACAAAAATTAGAAGGAAAATAATTTAGTTATCTTTTATCTTTCAAAATATATAGGCCAAATTAAATATATGTCAATGAATTGAGATTAACCAATTCTTTCTTGACAATTAGCCTCTGAGACCCACACTGCTCCAGAGAAAGTTTTGAAAAGACCCCCCTCAACCAGGTGAAAACCTTTTTAAGACAACAAAATAAGATAAATAATGTGGACATTAATGAGGTCTAAAATAAGAAAAATACTATCTTAATACAGCTACTGGAAATTGGGTGGATCCCAAACATAAAAAAACCTGTGGACAAATCTAAGGTTAGACTGAGAAAATATAAGAAATGGTAAAGGTTTGAATGGAAATATAGACTGTTTAGACAAACTTTACTTCAACAGTAATTATGTTTTGTAATATATAGGCTTAAATTAATTTCCAAGATTTTTAGGTAACTACCAATATTAAATTGAGTTAATGAAGTTTATAGGCTGTTACTTTTTATGCCATAGAGGAAAAAAAAATATATATATATACACCAAGCCCATTGCCGTCAAGTCAATTCTGACTCATAGTGACCCTATAGGACAGGGTAGAACTTCCCCATGGGGTTTCCAAGGAGTGGCTGGTGGATTTGTACTACCAACCTTTTGGTTAGCAGCTGAATTCTTAACCACTGAGCAACCAGGTCTCCATAGATATGTGTGTGTGTGTGTATACATAGTGGTGCAGTGGTTAAGAGTTATGGCTGCTACCCAAAAGGTTGGCAGTTTGAATCCACCAGCCACTCTTTGGAAATCCTGTGGGTCGGTTCTACTCTGCTCTATAGGGTTGCTGTGAGTTGGAATCAACTCAATGGCAACTGGCTTGGTTTTGTTTGGTATATGTATATATATATGTATATATACACGTGTATGTATGTATATGTGTGTGTGTGTGTATATATATATAT